TTGCTGCCCCCTGAGGGGAGGGCGATTCTGGGCTGCGCGATTGGGGGACTTCGTGGCTTTGGGTGGGTGGGTGGGTGGGAGCGAGGACGGACGGAGTCCGTGAAGTGGGGCTTGCCTGCCCTTGCTGGCTGCCTCTGCTTCCTTAGGGGCGGGGAAGGGGGCTCATCTGGACCAAGGGTGAGTCTCCCCCTCAGTTTCCCCTGAAGGATCTTCCGTCGCTTTTGCCTTCTCCCTACATCTTCCCTCTGTTATAGTATATATTTTTATTTTATAAATTTATGAGGTCACTCAAATTCAAAGAAATTTGAGACACAAACAGTTTTATATCTGAACTAGTTGATTGCTATGTGATCGGGTTTGATAAATGGACAGTTAAAGCTTGAACATTAATGACTAGTTACGATCAGCCTCTCCTCTCCCCTTCTCTCCCTCAGATGTGCCCCACAGAAGCCTCTCCTCTCCTATCCCACTTCTCTCCCCCAAGCTGGCCACATTGATCCTCTCCTATCCTCTTCTTTCCCTCAGGCTTGCCCCACAGAAGCCTCTCCTATGTTATCCCCTTCTCTCCCTTTCAAGTGGGGAGAGGGAGTAAAATGTCTAACTCCTTAGCATCAGAGTGTTTTTCAGGTGGGAAGGGGGAGTAGAATGTCTAAACTCCCAACCCGCAGGCCAGATGAGCCATGCGCTGGCCATGCCCAGGTAGGGAGGGGGAGTAGAACCCCTTAGCATAAGAGCGAGTTAATAATATAGGATGGTCATTTCGAAAAATCCTTTCTTAGCGAGCACCTAGAAGCCAAGAGGAACATACGTGCCAAATTTCAACTTTGTAGACTTTATGATTCTGGAGATTTTGTGATGATGCGTGAGTGGTATTTCACTTTTATATATATAGATTTAACTCTCACTATTTTGGAAGTAGGTCTCATTGGATGAGAAAGATGAGAAAATATGAGAAAGATTGTATTCCAGTAATGGGATTCTGTGAGTTAAACAGTCTAGCCCCTCAAATATATTTAGACATAATATGTGAGAATATTCAAATAGATGTGATTTAATTGGCTATCCTGTAATATTTTATTTAGCATCAAAGCAGACAGTAGTATTCATTCTTCTGTGTACATTTTACAAGAATAAAAGAATCATGTACCTTATAATCAGATGAACGTGGTGATATATGATCAGCAATTCGTTGTTCCTTAAAGCAGGTTTTGGAAGAGTTACTAGATGATTTAAATAAAGCAGCAAAGATTATATTAAGACATAAACATACTAAGGCATTAATGAGTGACTATATCTGAAAGAATCTTGTTCAGTCAAAATTTCCTATTGTCAAACTGATTATAGCATTTTATAATTCAGAGGTTTAAGGCATAATATATTAGAACTAGATGAATAATAAAACAAAACAGGCAGAAATGAAAATTATTTTTAATTTTTATTACTTCTCATTTAGAATATAAGATGTCCACTGAAGGGCAAAGAGTTGATGATAGTCCAAGTACCAGTGGAGGCAGCTCTGATGGAGATCAGCGAGAAAGTATTCAACTGGATCAGGAAAGAGAACAAATTCAACCTAAGAAAAAAGTGGGCAAAATCTCTAGCAAAACAGCACCTAAACTTTCAACTAGTGCTAAAAGGTACTTGCTCTTTGGGTTAATTTTCAGGGTTTTTTTCTTTTAATAACTATAATTGGTGGTCTAACCATATTTATGTGCTAACTGGTTGATTGACAACTGATTCTGTAGAACATGCAATAACAGTTGCTTGTTTAATAACTATACTGATCTCACTGTTATTAAAGTTGGGCCATATTTATAAGTCTTATATAGGTATGTGTAAGTGAGCAAGAGATAAACTAATGTTCATATTTGTCAGTGTATTCTATAGTTAATTAGCCTTAAATATATCAGGTATTTCAGATAGACTCACACAGTAATTCTTATTGCTGTAAAATTCACGGTTCCCCTTCTCCCCATTGGGTAAATAGCAATAGCACTTAGACTTTTCTATTACTCCATGGTGCTTTCCAGCCCTCTCTAAGCAGTTTACAGAGTCAGGGTATTGTTCCCAACAATCTGGGTCCTAATTTTACTGACCTCAAAAGGATGGAAGGCCGAGTCAACCGTGAGTAGGTCAGGATCAAACGCCTGCAATACTGCATTCTAACCACTGCACCATAAATATATATGGTAAAATATGTGCGTGTGACTTTTAAATTTTTAATAATTTTAATAAAAGTTTCACAAAGAAAATAAAAACTAGCACAAATTAATAAAGAAGAAAAGAAGAAAATAGAAGTAAAAGTGCAGAAAGAATACAAGAAATAGAAAGAATCTTCCAATTCTCCACTGAGTCAAAGGGAGAATCCAGGATGGGTAGTCTCTAGTCTTCTAACTCTGCAGACCGAGTTGAAAAACTAAGGACCCCCCCCCACACCGTAACGGTCCCCAGTTCTTCACTCGGTCTCAGCATGTTCAGACTTCAGTCTATGATTTTTTAAAAATCATTTTTTGTATCCAGTTTTTATCTAATCAAAACTGCAAATCGTGTGTATTTTACCTTTTGTGCAAGAGTCTATAAGGGATTTGAAGTAAACCTTAAATGTAAATATTTTTTTTCTCAGACTAAAGAAGTTAATTTAGCCATCTGCAAATTCCATCATCCATATCCACTGTTCGTCTATTATGGGTAATGTTGAACCAGTGTGACTTTTAATTTTATTGTATCGAATGACAGAATATTTTAGTATTTTCTTGCCCCTAAGAGGTAAGTGAAACCTGGAGAACACTTAGAGATGTTCTAAGTCATGATTGCTGTATTTAGATTTCTTATAGATAGAGCTTGCATTAATAAGTTTTTCCAAAGCAAAGCCTAAACATTTTTTGCCTTTCCAGTTCTTCTGCATTATTGAATTGTACGCATGCAGACAACAACATTTTGACATACCACAATTCTATTCTTCTCTGTTCAGTCTACGTAGTCCACTGACTTTGCAAATCTATCATTTGTAGGTCCTGTTAATTTGTTACTGTGATTTTGAGATGATCTGCTTATCCAAAATATTATTTCAACATTTAATCATCTAAAAGAGAACTTCTGAATTCATAATAAAAAATGTGAAATATAACTTCATAACTTTATAACCTGTCTTTTAACATGTCCAAGTTGTAATTTTTCCAGGTTATTTAAAAGGTCTATCATCAGTAGCTTCATCATTGTCAAACTATCACTAGAAAAATAGAGTTAACATTTTAAACGGAGAATATAGATTTAATTAATGGGAGAAAAAGACTTTGCTGGTATAGTCCTGTTATTCACTTATAGTTCACCTAATATATTAAACTGGAAGTTCTCCAGATGAGCTGTTCAGAGCATCCAGGCATGGGAGGTGCTTCTGTCTTTCGTCTGAGTTCATTTCTGAGGACACTTCTCCTTGAGGTTCCTCCTTAGTGTTCCCAGTTTTTTGCTCAGCCTTTGTTAGAGAAAGGCAAACTGGAAGTTCTCCTATACGCTGCTTCGAGAGTCCAGGAATGGGTTAAGCTCCTCCTCCTAATGTCATAGAGCTGAGTCTGCCACTATAAAAAGCCAGCCTCTGGCTGGCCCACCCATCTTTCGGCTCAGCTTCTTGTCTGAGAGCATAGTCTCTGGAAGAAGTACTTTTAAACAGCTAAAGGAAAAGTTTGAACTCAAAGAGACAGTAATAAATTTAAAATCCAGCTCTGTCTCCAGGAGAGATTCGCTCTCCTACAGTGCTGAGGCTTCAGCCCTGCTGCGCAAGGATTGCAGAACCAGGGAACGTTCAGAGGAACCTCCCATGCAGCCCCACTGATCACAACTTCATTGTTGCTACTGCCGGCCAAGCCGCTTTACAGCTGACTCCGGAGCTTTGTTCCTGCAGCTTCTCAGCTTTTCTGGCTTAATTCAATCGCTCAGGACCTGGTAAGAGCCTAAGGAGTGAAGATGGTGGCTAGGCTGTCCCAGGGCCACCTCACATGGCAGGCAGCCATTTTAGAATTGCCAGGTGGCCATTTTGGGGGAGGGGGAGTGCCTCCCCAAGGCCTCACAGTCTCCTGACTCACCTGGCCTAGGCAATGGGCAGCTCCTATGTGGGGGAAGCTCACAGCTTGGTGTCTGCTCTGTTAGATGGAGAGGGAAGCCCCCCCAACCTGGCCCCAAAGGACTCCAAGACTCCCAAGCCCCTTTGAGGAAAAAGAAAAGACAAAGAGGCCTTTCTGCTAACAGAGAGGCTGCTACAATGCAGCACTTAAGGAACAATTTGCAAAAGGCTCAGATGCAGGCCCAGATTCAACATGCTTCTCACTGGGGAGGTGCATGTTAACCCTGAAGTTTCTTCCAAGGGGGGTTAATCTGCTCACCTGTTAGCTTGGTCCCCAGAGAGAGTAGAGGAAGAAAAGTTTCCCCAGGACCTAAGCAGATCAGGGCCTTCCTCTAGATAGGCTACCTGGGGGCCTGGCCCTTCCTTCCTCGGTGGTCAAGGGGCTCAAGGGGGGCATAGGCCTAGGCCTGAAGCAACCTAAACCCCCACAGCTGTGGGCCTACGTCCTGAGGAGAATAGGCCCAAGGACCTTAGGGAAATGGTCTCTGTGACCATAAGGCAGGGCCTAGCAGAAGGATTTAAACAATTCCTTCACCCAGGAGGGGAAGGCATGTCCTTGTTACATCAGGGTTTTCCCCAAGGGGTCCGCCACTCTCAGAAGGGTGTTCCCAGGCAGCAGTTCTGTTTTCAGCCCTTGCATTCAGAGTGGGGGGAGGAAAAAGAAGAAAACTATTCCAAGGCCTCTGACCATAGTCGCTCTACTCATTCTGAGGAAGAGAAAGGAGAACATATAGACCTCAATATGTCTGAGGAAGAGGATTTTAGAGTTGATCAGCCCCCCTTAGCAAGGGTTTTCAGGCCTTCCTTATTCAAGCCTCTGTTACACAAGGCTTTGGTTACTGCACAGCTAAGCCTGAGGAGGTGGCCCCAGAACCACAGGCTACCACATTTGGCCACACTGATTTGTTGTTCTCCAAGCCAGTGGTACATACGGAGGTCCTCCCTTCCCCACTGATTTTCCTTGATCTAGTGAAGGAACAGTGCACCTCTCCAGGGATGGGGCCTCGCCCATCTGCTCACGACAGACGATTCTATAAAGTGGGTTCCCTGGCCAATGCCCCGCTGGTACCTTTGGTGGATGCTTCTTTGGTGGATATCTTCTTGAGATATTTTAAATCCATTTTTGGTTTTGTTAATTGTCAATCCTAGATACTTTTTAATTTCACCTAAATGCTTTAATTTTATCTTTTTGGCTAATAATGAAATAATCTCAGTAGCTTCATTATTGGTATTAGTAATCAAAGCAATATCATCTGTAAATAATAACAATAATGACACCGTTCCATTATTTTCTCTTTTAAACATACATGGATCTGCTAAACCAGATTTAAACCCTATATTGTTTAATTCTTTCACAATATATTGGTTCCATTCATAGCCAGATTGTTTCAATCCATATAGACTCTTTTTGAGTTTCCAACAATCATTGCTATTTGCTTTATTATCATTTATACCAACTGGTTTTTTCAAATATATTGTATGCTGCAATGGTGCATGTAGATAGGCAGTTTCTACGTCTAAATGGTTAACGATATAATTCTTCTTAGCTGCCCACACTAAAGCTGCTCTTAAAGTTGTAGCCTTTAAATTTGGTGCAAATACTTCATCATAATCAAATGCATTTTGATTAAATCCTTGAGCTACTAACCTAGCCTTATAAGTAACTGTCCCATTATTTCCAGTCTTTACTTTGAATATCCATTTGCACCCAATGGATTTTTCTCCTGGAGGAAATATGGTATCTTCATATACTTTCATTTCCTTTAATGAATTTAACTCTTTTTCCATTGCCTTTTTCCAATTCTCCTGATCCTTTACAGGATACATCCTAAGTTCATCTATACTAGTAGGAACTTTATTTACTTGGCAAACTATACTTGCCTGATACCTTTCAGGTGGTCTGGTTACACGTGTTGTGCGTCTAGGTATTACAGGACTTACAGGTGGACTTTCCTTTATTTCCTGTTCTTGATTATCTATCTCTTCTTGATCAATTATTTCTGGTTCTATTTGCTCTTCGTGGACTTCTTCTTTAATTGGACTTTTCTTATAACTAGTCTTTTCTTTCTGCTTCTTGTAGGGTTCTATAAATACATCATTATCTGAATCTTGCTCTAATTTATTCCATCCTATATGTTCTAGGAATTGTGCACTAGCACTGCAGTATACTCTAGATGTACCTTGTTCCCAGAATCTATAAGATCTATGGTTTGATTGATATCCAACAAAAAATAATCTTTTAGCTCTATGCTGTCCTTTGTTTCTGAGTTGTGTAGGGATATGCACCCATGCTGGTGCACCAAATGTGTGAATGTAACTTAAATCAGGTTTTCTACCATGCCACAGTGTGAATGGTAATTCACCTGTTGTTGAATTAACAACATTATTTAATATGTGATTACCACACATTATAGCTTCTCCCCACAAATTGTCAGGTAATCCTGAATCTGACAACATAGTCCGTCCCATTGATTGCAGTGTTTGGCCTCGTCTCTCTATAAAGGCATTATGTTGAGGCCT